TTCCCAAGCTCCACTGTGATACTCAGTCATGGAAAAAGAATTTTCACTAGCGTGTTTCCAGAAACACCATCTACTTTTTCAAATACATAGCCAGCCTTAGACAACAGACTGCATCCAATAGCAATAGTTTTGTTGTTAGTATATGGGACAAGGTGAAATCCCAAGTGTTATGCAAAATCAGGCCCTTACTTTCTCAGAAAGTGCACTTCCCTTTAGCTGTCCCCTCAGACTGCCCCAGTGCTCATCCATGTGCCCTAATGCCACACGTGTGCACCGGAATGCAGACAATGCCTGCTTAGCTGGGGGAAGCCATGCAGCCATTAAGGTTTGCAGCTGAGATGAAATCAGAGAGTCATTTAGGTTGGGAAACACTTCTAAGATCATTGAGCCCAGCCGTTAACCCAGCAGTGCAAGGCCACCACTAAGCCATGTTCCTAAGTGCCACCTCCACAGGTCTTTTAAATACCTCCAGGAATTGCGACTCCAGCACTTCCCTGGGCAGCAGAATGATACTGGGGAAGACCCTACAAGAAAATGAGTAGCACTGGAGCAGTTGCTACTGAGTGAGGGCTAGTTAGCCCATGCACTGCCTGCACTGCCTGATGATGCCATTTGATGATGACGACAACACAACATAACTCACAAAGGGAAATGAGTTCATATTGCACGTGTGACTATAAGTATAGCATTTATTCTTCCCCAAGCAGCTGACTTTGCATCCTTAACATGTATGCATGTAAACTTTCTCCCTCTTCACTGAAGATACACCAACAGCCATAAAATATTGGCCAGATAGCTGCCACAAACTGTTGTGGATTAGGAGCAAAATATTTCAAAAATTATTTCAGCTCATATCTTTCCCGTGCTTGAAACCATACTTAGAAAATCAAATTTCCCTGCACATTAAAGGAAAGTGTTGCATGTGTGTCTATTTTGCATGTGGAAAATAAAATTTTGTGTATGCAGTGGTTATACATACAAACGGCTTTTGATTACAGTGTAAGTAGTGCCTTTAGAAATTTGTGTCCCATTAAATAATTTACATTATCCTCCCAGCAGAAGAAATCCAAAAATGTCTAGTGAGGAACTAAATTAGTGAAAGAGAGGACTTAGAAAATATTGTCCTCTGTGTAGCAATAGCAACACCTCATTATTGTCTTATATAGAGAACAAACAAATTGGATAATTTGTATCTCAGATAAGCAAGCCCTGGTTAATAGAGTCATACAGGATGTAAGGGGCAATGGGAGTGCGCATTCCCCTGCCGAGACACCTCTCCTGACGCAGAGCAGGAGCGCTCTGCCGTGCTAACTCTGACTTTGCAAGGGGCAGGTGCAGATTTAGCTGCATTAACATCAATAAACTGGCCACCAGAGCAGACCTCAGTGTGGGGAGGATGCAGCAGATACATCTGGGGAAGAGCTCCAAGAAGTCACGCCAGCCCAGCCAGCCCAAGGAAGCAGAGGCAAATTTTGAAAACCAGCTGGGCAAGATAAAATTATCTTTCAAGGCTCAGGCCAGGTAATCCTGCTTAAATGACAGTAGGGGCTGACTTTTTAATAATTTCAGAAATTTTAAGAGAATGTATCATTTTATAGATGGCAACAAGAAATAGCTGAGTTCCAAATTTTCAATAATGCTGCTTAGTATAGAGCTATTGTTTTTAGAGTACATTCAAATCCACTATGCATTGAAGATATAGATAAAATAGCTCAGCAACTAAAAAATTAGAAAAAAAATAAGGTAATGTGGGAACTAAATTATTGTAGCTTGGTGGAAACTGTTCTTCTCAATGTTATCTTCACCTTCAAAGTATGTACAGGATTCTTGTTTGTTCCTGGACTCATACTGACTGAGACGAGGTCTTGGCCTTATTATCTGATAGTTCGTAATATCTACTTCTTGATGACTTGATAAGAAATTGCATTTTAAAAAGCTTGATATTAATTTAAAACCTACAAGGTTTTGCTTATTATTTCTGAGACAGCCTATTCAACTTCTAGTCAGCAGCTACAGCAAAATACGCTGACCCATTGATGAGGTAATCAATTATGCTGGAACAAAACAAACTCGTAACTAGAAAGAAAGTAAGCCTATGGTTTTATACAGAGCCAGAGAAAACAGAGAGAAAGCCCATTTGGCAATTGACATAGGAGAAAAAAAATTCATTTCCAGGTTCCAAGAAGATATATTTTAAATTTGTATTATATACGATTTAAAAAAATCAATATTCTTCTACGCTGGACAGCTTTACTTGCAGTGAACGAAGACAAACCAGGGCACACATCCAAAGCTGTGGCCCTACAAGCATGTGGCACTCAGGAATGGAGGTTTACATGCCAGCAACTGCAATTATCCCAACTAGCAATGATTTAGCATTCTGTGATATCTAGAGCCCAAAAAACACAGGCTATGCCTTTATATCACAACCATCTGAAATTCAGGTTTAAATTCTGCTTTTAAAGAAACTGCAGCACAGCTTGCTGCTGTGTGCACGCTGGAGAATAAAAATGATTAATTCCGCCCATCACTGAAGTTTTTGCTTATGAGTATCACAAGCCTTTGCTGTGTGCAGCAGAAAAAAAGAAAATAATTTTTATGCTTAGTTTCTGATCCCTATTCAAAATCATGCAACAGTGCTAATTACTAAACACCGGGAAGACTGAATAAAATATCATAAAATGCTGACTTAAAAACCCACAAAACAGAACACCTTAAATCTAAGTAGATTTACCACATTATTTTAGCACATGATTTTTAGTGCATGAGCTCGGAAAATATTTTCATGTTAAAATTAACAGAGGAAAGTAACTGGAAAAGAAGCAAATCAAAATGGAAATACACCATGTAATACACACTGTCATGATGAGCCGAACATCTCGAAAAAAGAGCAGAATGATCAATCCCTCACCACAAGAAAAAGAGACATGTAAAGATTGGCTTGAGAAAAAAAAAATTTCCTCTTGGAATCACCACAGCAGGAGCCAGAAGAAGCTTTGCACCCAGAGATCTAATGTCGTCTGTTAAGCTAACCAAACTAGTCTGGAAGAAGAAAAAAAGTAAGACTTTATCTTTTCATCCCCTCCCACTTCACTGCTCATCTCCCTAGTGCTTATCTTGATCCCAGTTTTCTTTTTCTGAGGTTTTTTTTTCCTCCTTCTCCCTCTCCCTCTTCCTTTCTTGCTTTTTTTTTTGATGCTAACAGAGGGAGCAGCACGAGTACCTGATGGCAGCTGCCTCCTAACCGGAGCCCTGCCTTTGCCATTCGCACTGTCACATCCAGCAGTCACAGATGACACCTCGGAGGACGCAGAAGGGTCGGTGACAGGGGCGATGCTGCGGATTCGCCTGGCCCTGGGAGCCTCATGGGGGCTGCTGGGGGCCAGCCCAAGTGTGTGACACCACATTCCGCCACACCCAGGGTAGCAAACACCCCAGATGTGGTCAGTGCCTGGTGCCACTGGACGGTTTGCAAAGAAACCACGGAAATCTCCTACCTAAGTCAGCCACTTTCTGCCCAGTTTGCCACAAGCATGTAATGCATGACATGTAATGCAAAACTTGCCGTGACTGAGGAGGAATTCCCAGTGGGATTTTCTCGAGGACATGCTCCAGGATGCCCCACCACAAAATACTGACAGCATGGCTGTAGGGTTGCCAGAGCACAAGAGCTTCTCTGTGTACCAAATCACAAACTAAACTAAGCACGAGAATGCAATGTGCATTACATGGACATGTTAATCTTACATTTACACATGGAAAAATCCTAATGCAATGTATTATTCCTCTGAGGTTTTACACCATATTCTTCTTTCATTTACAATAGACCAGACCTGCCCTGCACAACTCAGGCTGTAATTTGAACAGTAATTTTTACATTAACACCACATAAGCAACAATCAGCAATGGCTTATGCTGTTGGGAGAGTAAGTACAACCACAGGCTACCAATAAACTGTAGGGATACAGTGAGAGAGATCTCGGCAGCATTTTGGTGTGCATTCTGCACACTGTCTCCCTGGAGTTCAAAACACTCTGGGGACAGGACTCCATCCATCCATAGGGAAGACATTACAAGGTTCATAGAACTGAATCAAGTACAGCTAAATTGCACACTTAGGTACAGCTCTACATTAGGCTGAAAATAGCTGCATTTTCTAGAGTTTGTGTTATCTTAAAAAAGTACCTTGAATAACTACTCATAAAATTAAAAGGAATAAAACCAGATAGTCCTGGCCATGTTAGCTTGTGTATCATTGTGCAATTTGCCTCATTTTATCCACAGACGGCACATCAAAAATAGGAAAAATCTGATTTTTAAGCTTGAAATATGAACTCTACAAATCTGTATTTCTGTGTATGTATTGTAAGCCCACACCAGGGAACACTTTCAAAAATAAAAATAAACATCTAAACTTTGAATGCACTTTAAGGGTCAAAAAGCAATGGGAACAAATGCATTATTTAATCGTAAAAACCACACTCGATTCAGTGCAAGGCTAAGGAGGAAGCTCAGGCTCCCAGAGGCATGTGAAGGGAGGACTGCTTTGAGGGACTGCTGCAAACAGGGCTGGAGCTGAACCTTCCCTCAGCCCTGCCTCTGCCTGGGAGAGGTGGCAAGGTTGAAAATCTGAAGACAGGCAGCTTTTAATAAGAATTAGCTGCCATTTTCTCAGGCACAGTGAAACAGAGAGGAAAAATACTGGGAATTTTGTGCTTACAACAAAATAAAGGCATTACTCAAAACTGAGAGGAAAGACTGTTAAAAAGAGGGGCTACTCACACAAGGCTTGGAGTGAATGATAAAATTCTCAGCCTTTTTACTAGCCTATTGTTATCAGCTACATCTCTACTGCAGTAGTCTTTGTTTTTCCTCCACCCTCATTAAGGGTTAGGTCAATTTCCTACCTGATCAACACAGGCTCTGCTCTCATTATCTTGACTCAAAGCCAACAGTACCTTTTAAAAAATGCTCACAAAAAATAGCTATGGTATGCTTACCCTGAGGTAGTTGAGGGTGAAGTTTGTCAGACCCATTCGAGTGATGTTTTTGGACAGCTGCTCCAGCACCTGAGGGTCTTGTGCCTAAACAACAAAGGAAAAAAGAATTTTCACTTTGCTTTTCATTAGGGTATTTTTCCTATGTGCTCAGTGGAATACAGGGAGGGTTCCCTGAAAAGCAGTGCCACTGCTATGGAAAAATTACACACTGATGCTAAATGTATGTAATAAACTAGAGTTCTATATGCACAGGAAAATATAAAGCATTATGATATTGGAGCAGACTAAAGACTGTTTTCCAATATGTTCCTTTAATCCCTGACCACCCATTCAAGAGACAGACCTAAGAGGTCTGGTCATGGAAGTGACCAAAGAGCTTCCTGAGGGATTGCAGTACACTTTGAGCCTTCTATTTGTTGGCTGTGAGTCCCAGGAGATGAGACAGAAAAGGGCAGGAATAAAAAACATAATTTTCTTTTTTTGCATAAGAAACTGCAGCAGAAGGACCTCATCAAATATGTGACATTAAGCACACCTTCTGATCTAAGTTATTTTCCCAGGATTAAATGGGGAAAAATGCAAGTATAGTCCTTCCCTGACCCTAGCCAGGAGCTTTACCTGTGAGACCAGCCTCCTCTTTAAAATGAGATCAATCTCATCACTAAAATTAATACCTGCTGGTTGCTGTCTAACCTGCTTCCACTCTCTATTTAGCAGCCCCCTAAATGCATAATGTCAATCAGGGCCATCCTCATTCTCCCTTAATGGGAGACTGTTGAAGAGCTCGGTTGATCAGCTCCCTAAAAGAGCAGATAATCCTGGGACAGAAATGCTGGGGTGGGTTTTCAAAGGTGTTTTCTTCAGGCTTGTAATAGCACTTTAAAAAAAGGTTCAGCTTAAGCTATATAAAATTCCTCACTATTAATATATTTTTATCTGTGGATATCTAAGTAACTTGATGTCAGAATAAAGGAACATCTCTGTGTCTGTGTTCTTACCTTTTATAAAACCATAGTCCTGCAATTGATTTTGTATATCAGGGCACTACTAGTAGGAGTGGGTCTATGGTGAAGAAATGAAAGTGTCAATAAAAGTATGTTCTTTGTTTCTCTACAATTTATCTTATTATATTTTGACTTTAACTTGTAGAATATTTAATCCTTTAATGTTTCATTGTGTGTGTTTTCATTCAATAACAAAAGCAAGTTGTGAAATGTGAAACAAAAAGAAGGTCTGCATTAAAATTCTAAAGGTTTCTAAGTAAATATATGGCAATTTCTTATCTTCTGTCTATGCAAGGGTAACATCAGTTTGCTTCATTTAAAACTTATCATTCTGCAACAGTGAAAATTCACAGACTTTAGTGTAGTTCAGGTCGATAAGAAGAGATTTTGGACCCAAATCATACAGACCACCAAAAGGGATTAAAAAGAGAATTATGTGCTAAAATAGAATGAAAACATACCAACAGTGGCAATAATAGAGCACTGAAAAACAAGGGAGAGATGTAAGAACTTGTGAATAGATGTAGTTTCAGGCAAACCAAAATATTTATAGTTAATTGCCTTGGGTGTGAAATTTGCCGGAGTTCTTCATAAACCTAATCTCATCTCTTTGCATTAGGTCAAATGAATAAAGGATTACTTACATGCATGGCTAGAATGCTGCGTGGGACTAATTCTCTGTATTGTCTAATAGTAAAGTGCCATGTTTTTATTCTCATAAGGTCATCAAAAGTAAACTCCAAGATAAGACGTCCTTCTGTGCATACCTAGAATACATAAAATGCATGAAATAAATTCCCAGGAATTTTGTTTTCATTGCTATTGTATCATCGATTAAACAACATTCAAAAATATCAGAGCAGAATTCTATTGTTCATCTCTGCTAGATTAATTGTTTTTCATCCTCTTGGGGAGAAAAAACGAATGTGGGAAAATTACTTCATAGGCCTTACCTCAGAAACAGTAACTTATAATGCTATAGATTTTATAGCATTTTACAAACATAGAATATTGTGTGCTAAATCTTATTTATTGCATCAATTCTCTTTTCCTCATGGTTTGCTACTGCTAATTAATGACTGAACCTTGCAGTGGAGGGGACTGGGTGCAACTGAGTGCACTTGATGGCAAGTTGCTGAACCAGTCATTCCCAACCTGTTTTGGACTTACCAAAGCGTGGCATATAAACTTTTCTCTCATGTCCAGCTGGATTAGGCAGCACCCTGAATGCCTGTGGCCAAACCTGGGGTTTTTTCCATCATTTTTCATAACTTTTTTCATAATATTTTTTTTCCAAGCATTTTCTTCTGTTGGGTTTGTTTTTTGTGGTGAGATTCTTTGGAGGTTTTGTTTTTTGGGGGTTTTTTTGGGTTTTTTTTTGTTTGTTTGTTTTTTTGTTTTGTTTTGTTTTAACAAAAAAACCCCACCACCTCTTACCTAACTTTATTAATCCCCCCTTCCAAGGAAAGCCAGGCTGGTGCCTGCCATGGGGCTCTATGAGCTGCATTGCTCACAGGTTTGAGAGTGAGGGGAGCAGAGGAGAGCCAGACAATGAAGCTACTTCCACAGAAAGTGGCTCACACAGCTTTGTGAGGAATCTTGTCTAAGAAAGGACAGAAAATATAGGAGGAATAAGTGCAACAAGTGGGTACTACCTATAAATGAAAAATAAAACAAATTACTGGGCACTTTTAAATAACCCTCCACAATTTTTTGTGGCAAAGGTACATGGTTGTGGTCTTCTTTAAAGTGAAAAACACAAGCCCAGCATGGTATCTTGACTGAAGATACTGTGGAGTATTGAAAATTATGTCTGATTTGAAAATCAACTACCACTGTTGATTTTTTTTTTAATTGTAGATTTAGACTTACAATCCCTGCTCATAGTAAACTTGTAAGTGCAGGGTACAGAGATACTGTGGAAACAGGGTGTAATGGCTTTCAAAAGAGAGGGCTTCTGCAACCTTAATTTTAATACAACTAGTATTTGATTGAAAAATAACCATCCCAGATTCAGCTGTGTTGAGCCTTTTTAAAAGCTGCAACTCAGACTTGGCCAGCTCTCACTTGGTCAACGTGTGGCTTTTTTGGTTAACAGTTCATTTAATGTCCTTACAATTTTTCCTCCTTATTGTTTCTGCTAAAACACATAGGTAATTTTAACAGGCATACTATATAGACAAATTCCTGTAGACCTGTGAAGGAAAACCTTGCAACAGGTTCTCATCTGCCCTTTCCAACACACCTTAGTGATGCCTTCAGATATTTAATGTGCCTGATGTTTCACCTTTGATTTTCACATCACTTGCACTAAGATGAGAAATTACACAGTACACATGCACACACATAAAGATTTATAGAAGGAAAATATTTTGTATTACTGGTGCTGTGTTGAGGCCAAAGATCCTGGTTACTGATCAGTTAATGTGAAAATATTTCAGGTTTAAAACAATTTTTTTCATAATAACATCAGTGGCTTCTCAAATGTTTCTTTTCTTAAGCTCACACCACCAAAGCTCTCAGCAGATTTTAGGCACTGGCATTAACAAATTTTAATAGAAAAACACATTCTTCATATTACAGTGGTAAAAATTTATACATCTTATAAAGGAATTTAATTTCCTTACGTAAAGTAGAATTTTACACATTGCTTTTAATAAATAAAACTGGCACAGTTCTTATTTTAAAAGGGCTATTTTTTCCTGAAAGCTGCCTTTTACATAGAATCCAAAAAATCAAAAGGGTCTCCAATTAAGAAAACATTTTCTGTTGTGCTGAATTCATGTTACCGTACTGTGAGCTCTGACATTTTGTTTCTGTGGTAACCAAAATCAGCTGATTAGTTGGCATGGCAACAGAAAAGATGTAATCCCAGCAGACACACTCTAATCAATGCCCCCAGCACAGATGGTCTCCGGAGGATCAACAAGAAAGAGGCTGGCAGGCATTCAGTGTATCACGTGGTTGCTCTAGACTAGGCCAGGAAAAAACTAAAAAAGAACATTTCTCAAACTAACCAATAGCTTTTTAACCCCTTCACTGCACTTATTAATTGTAGGAATTTCAACGGCTGGTGCCTGTGAAAACCAACTTTGGTCCTGCGCCTTCTTGCTCACAATCTCATTCTCCTAACACTTGGCATCTTTAGAAGTGTTCCCCCTTTATTAACTACCACCTCTCAAACAAGAATTGTTGCTTTAAAAGAAAGCTAAAGCTTACGCAAATCTGGGCAATGCCTGATATTATTAGTAAGGATTAGATTCACTGATTTTTTAGGGCTTCACCAATAAAATCCAGCTGATGGCTGCACTCCTGGGAGAAGGAAGTGAGTAGTGAGCACATGGGGCACTCACAGCTTTGGTGGGGAAGGTAATGCCCACTCCTGCCATTCCACTGGGAAACATAATCATTGATCACTGTAGAAAAACAATTTGCCTACACGTGAAGTGGGAGTGCCAGAGTTGGAGTAAACACAGTGAAAACAGGGACTTAAGAGGACTCATAAAACTTTCATCTGCCTGAAGAAAAAAGTGGAGCATCTTCTAGGTAAAAAATAGTGGCCTTGGCTTCAGTATTTTAACATTTTATTTATGTCATTGAACTACTATAAATTCTTTATACTATTTATTTATATCTTGATAAAACTATTTTTTGTGTGTGACATTTTACAAGGACCTTTTAGCCTCTAAAGACAAGCTGGATTATACATATTCTTACTGCTAGGCATGTTCTGGCCACATTTGTTTCAAAAGAATTGGAAATGCCATTTTATATATTCGTCCAATACTGCTGCATGCAGTGTTGTTCTAACTAGCAAAATGTTGAAATGAATAACATACATTTGATTCTTGAGTCTGTGGATTCTTGATTCAATACATAATGAAAAGTGGGTTAGTCTGTTGCATTAGAAGTTAGTGAATTTACAGCATAGAATTTACTTGTGAAACTGAAACAGCTTGTATTTTTGCATTAGCTCCTTCCCCCCATGATAGTTTCAGAGGGTCAAATTCAGATATGATCCAAGGAGCTACACAGCCCATTGCAGTGGTGCTTATTATGGAAAGTCTGATTTGCCCCATCACTGATGCTGTGAGAGTAGGAATTTACCTTTGGGTACAAGATCTGTGCCCTTGGTATCTCTGCTAGAAGTTAAATAGGCACAGCTGAGACAACATTCAGCTCTAACTTATTTCTGAGAGAGAGTATTATTTCTTCTCCCCTTTTCCACCAACTACTGTGCTTTATTTCAGATTTGCTCTTACTAAAAAGTTGTATTTTAAATAAGCAGGCATTAAATGCTCCTAATTTTTCTCCTAGAATCCAAACCACATTCCCACCTGAACTCTTCTTGCAGAACACAGGTTTATATTGGAATCTGCCAGAGAAATGTGAAGGCTGAGGCAAGCCGTGCACTGCCAGGGACACTGCAGCAGACAGAGACCCAGTGCACACAACAGGACAGTGCCACGGGAGGCAACTGTGGCCCTCTCACACGAGGGGGCACCCAGCCCAGTCCATACTGCTAACTTGCTTTCCTAAATAACAACACTGTCATGTGCTGCCACAATAAGTAAAATAATCTAATTGAATTGAGAAAAGCATTATGTATTTACTGGTTAAAAAAAAAAAACAAAAAAACCCCACCAACCCCCTTTTATTTGCTATTGCATTAAAGCTAACACAAAGGGGAAAGACACAGAGATCACTGCAAGGAGCTCAGCAATGAAGCAGCTACTGTGTAACTTTGGCACATCTCCTGCACCTGGCCAGGACTCACAGCTCCTCATGAGCAGTGAGGTACAAAGAGGTGCCAATAGGAATATCTGGTCTCTTCTCTGTCTGTCTGTGTCTGTGTAAGCCAGGGGCTGGATGGGCTCACACGTCCTGGCTCACCAGTGCACCACACACCAGCAGCTCCTTCTCCCTCTGAGCCCCACCCAGGGGAGATGGCAGAGCAGGACCTGCGAGGGGATGGGACTCACATACAAGCTAAAACAGCATAAGCCATGTAACCCTGGTCATGATGCTGTCAGTAGCCAGGGACTTAAAATTAAAACCTCCACGGTCCTGCAATTCAAGGGCAACACAGATTAGCTACCTTCTCCTGCTTCCCCTTCTCCCTTTGTTCTTTTCTTTATGAAAAAGTTAAAGATGGTACAAGATGGAAAATCAATATTTCCTGTTATCATTATTTACTGTTAATGTATTAAAACTTATCCACTTTGGAACAAGTTTACTGATTTTTATTTTTTTTTAATATGAGAAAAATTTTGTTTTAATTTTTATTTTTCACCCTTTTGGTACTGCTTTTTTAGATACATATATGGCATCCATTTTAATTACAGGACTGGATGTGCCCCATGCATGAAGATAATTCACTATCAATTACAAATACTAAATATTCACTAACTGTTTTATCCAGAGCGTGTTTCCCTTTACTCCTTCCATTGACTTCATTGCCTTCTGGACTGGCATCCTACTGTATTAAATCAGTATTTTCCTAGAGATTTATAGTCCTTGTAATAGGTAAGTATCAAATGTAATGCATACCATCCCAAATGGTAGGTACCAGCAATGTGAAATCTCATTGTTTCTTTAAAATCAAACCTAGAGAAAAAGAATTTATGTGAATTTAATTCACAGAAAACTGATAGTTCTGGCAACCTGGCATTATGTGCTTTTCTTGCAATCTTTCTGGGAGAACTACAGGAGATACCCACAGAATCTTCCAGTCACATAATGAATATAGAAAACAGTAATTAAATGGCTCCAAGGGTTTTCAATATTAGAAATCATCTCAGTCTACCAGAAAAATTCAACAGCCAATATTCTTCACCCTTATACACACTGGAAAAGAAAACCAAAAACCAACAACATGCTTTATTGAGTCTTCCCTGTTACCTTGGTAAACATGGGTTTTCCATGCTGAGTGACCATGGTGCATTGATCACAGTCCACTGTGATGGATGAGTTGTGGTATGACTCTTTTGAGTGCTTGAGAATGTAATACAGGTCTGTTACACCTCCTTCAAAGACAGTGCTAAAATAACGAGGAATGAGGGTTCTTCCAATTGCTGTGAGGAAAATACAAAGCAGAATTCAGCAAATGCTCTAGGTTATAAAAATCTCAAACCATTTGCTAACAGCACATGAATAATTTTAAGTGCAATGAAATCAAACTTTCATTTAATGAATATAATACATGTTCTCTCCCTTTTGTAGAGACAAAGTTGTGCCTGCTCCCACAGAAATCAATGAAAATGGCTGACTCCATTCAGTGGGCTCATCATATTTAATCTTTTTACATTGATGGCAAGTTAGAGTCACTCTTGAAACCATCTGCAAGGTTTTTTTTGTCCCAAAGTAATTATTACACAAAAACCCACATGATGTCAATTACTACTGAAAGCTGAATATTACCCATAAGTGTATAAATACAAGTGGTGAGTATTGACAGAAATATACTTCTACACCCAAAAAAGCAAAGCACTTTTATATAAGGGGCTTGTGTACACATATATGTTTTTTTTGTGTGTGGGCACATGTATATTTATATTTACCCACCCATACATGTGCACACACAGATGCACATGCACTCTTGATTCCACAGGAGGGCTTCTACTGAGAAATCAGAGTACTGGGGATTGAAGGAGGACCTGAAAATGGAAAACTAGAATGTTATGTATGACTACCCACAGATCTACCTGAGATCTCTCTTTAGACCAGTATTTATGTCATGGGCTCAAAAGCCTGAGCAGACACCTGAACTCCCTTACATGCACCACTTAAACCCCAAACTATGGACTGAAGGAACCCAATTCAGAATTATTTAGTCAGGCAAAACTCACTGAAGTCACATCTCTCACTTCAGTAGTAGTTTTAGGCAAGTTTTGCAAGGTCTAATTGCAAAATGTAGTGAGAGTGAGCTTTTGAGTGTGCTTCAGATGCACAAACTAGCAGCAGCACTGATATCAAAGGCAATTATCTCATATGCAACTGATGCTTTCCATCTCCTTCTTTACCGATAAATTTGAATGTAACCACAGCCTGGTATAAGAGAACATTTCAGTTTATAATAGATGGATATTTCCATACCAGATGACTCATTGCTTTGCAAGCATTAATCAATCCACAGTAATTTTGAGTGGTGGATACATAAAAATTACCTTCATTTTACAGGGAAAAACCAAGCAATCTAAATAGTCTCTTGGAAGAATGAGGTAGAAAAGTCACCATCCAAGGCAAGATTAGAGTTTATTAGTTCCTAAGTCTAATTTTTCTATTAGGACTATGTGGTGACTCATGCCTCCCTCATTTGCTGTATACTTTTGAGAGTGATTTCTAAAAAAACTATTTTCATTGAAATTTTGCCAGCATATGAACAAAGGCTCCTGAACCTAAAAATGCATTTGCAAATGGGTGTTGCAAATTAAAAAATAGGGAATTTTCACAGTAGTTCTGTGAATACTGTTTTTGTTCTGTGCATTGCAATGTGAAATATTGAATAGGCAGTCATAATGCATATTGTGTAATGAAAATATGCAAATAGAGAAAATTAGGACTTGTAAAAGCTTTTGCTGTAATATCACATATCAATATACTTTAATGTACAAAAATATACCACATTCTCTGGAAGTAGATGACAATTCAGTGGATACATTGAAAGACTATTGTACAACTGTAGATCCTAAAAAACCCCACCCAGTAACCATGCATGTAATAATTTTTGCAGTCTTTTAATTTAATTTACAAAAACTGAAGTCCAGTGTATTAGAATAGGATTTAATTCATGGTTTAACTCAAATTTCTTCATGTTGGTGTGGTATATAGTAAAAAGTGAAATTTACCCATCAAGTTAATTTCTTGCTCCCCTAAGGCTAATTAGTGCAAATTAAATTTCCTGCTAATCATCTTAAGCAGCAAATGGGTGATATGAAAATCCAGCATTCCTACTGATTGTGATAAACCTCTATTCATGTGACTTATGCACTGCATAAATATCTTGAAATTATTTAACTGCAGTTTATAGACTGTTCCCAAGGTAGCATGGTCATGTGGTGTTGCTTTTTGCCCTGTATTTACAGCTATAACACATTAAATGAAGCTAGAAATACATTAAATAATTTATTCTTATTAATAGTAAGCATTTTTAATAAAAGTTATTTCCTGGTAAGTGTTATCTATGCTTGCCACAGGGATATGCTACTGCTGAGAACAAAGTGGGAGACCAAAAGGATGAAGAGGAGTAGAGGTGCACACAAGGATGTGCTCCATGGAACCTCATTTTCCATGACAGATGCACTTGCAGACTCTGTCAGTCTGCAGAACTGAAAATAACTGATGCAAATATCCAGTGTATATGTTTATAGGTAAATATTCAGCTCCAGAAGAAACAGTAATGGAAACCTGTGTTAATGAGAAGACCTCTCCTCAGCTTTCCCATGAAACACTGAAGCATGTTCAAGGTTTTGGTTCTCTTCCCAAAGCACTCAATGGCTTAAAATTATCATTTCATTTCTAGGATAAACATGAAACTCTACAGCAGTAACAAAAGTTTTTGTGCAGGAAATGGAATTTCCAAGAACAACAAAGGGCTGTGGAATAACTCTTATGAGGCCTAGAGATCATCCCAAAATTTGTACACTTTTTAGTGCAAAGGACAATTCTTTGAATTTTTCTCTTCCAAGACATAATTGTGTAGATGTGTATGCAAGCACAGATGTGTGTGCACTCCCTGCTCTGCTGCATGCATACATACAATCCTTTCCTGAAAAAAAGAATGGGAACATGGCAATGGTGCTTTTCTTTCCCTACTGGTAGTATATGGATGCACTCACATGTGGATGCACACACTCCACCTGTGCCTGCCACTGTACATGTCAACAAGATTTCAGCAGCACCACGTATCTTCTGCTAGAGAGAGCAGAATACTTTCTAGGAGGACCCCAAACAATGTGAAGGCAGAACCGTGGAACAACTCGATACTTGTGGCCACTTCAGGATGTGGTCCAGCCATCCTTATGCCAGTGAAATGAATGCACCCCTTGCAGAGCACAGAGCAAGCTGTATGCCAGCCTGGTCTTGGGTTTGCAATTCCCCAGTGTCAGTCACAGCAATAATGGAAAGTATAGTCTATAGCACATCCAATTGCTGAATGAAGCTTTATGTGCTTTATTGGAATTCCTTCATATTTTAGAGCTTGGCTTTTAGTCCACAGAATACATGTGGAAGATTGTGTGTCTGTGCGGAGTTTTGTAGGGTTCCTCCCTACCACACCACTCTTCCCTAAATGAGCATCACATGGAGCCTGCAGAGCTAGCATACAGATCTTAGCTAAAGGAGCTCTGAGCTGAGCATTTGCAGAAGCAGTTTGAGTATGGAGAAGTTCTTAGAATTTCCTTTCTCAATGTCAGGGCTTCATTCTTTCTCCAGTCTTTTTCCTCACCCACCCCCATGGTCCAGTTCTCTGTTTTCTCAGCTTATGGTTGGTTGCTTATCGTCCAAGCTCACTGTTCAACTCCCAGTATCTCCTTGGCTTCTCCTGCTCCTCAAATGATGCCTCTTTTACTTTGGCTCAAGGAAACTCAATAACCTACCCTAAATCTTCATTATTTTTTCATTCTTCTTAATTTCATTATTTAGTCTCAGTTTCCTCATTTTCCTCCACACTGCCCAAAATGCCAACTTCACACCCACTTTTTCAGTGCCCTTCCTACCCAGCCAGGCTTCCACAGCTGCTTTTCCCAGTCTCCCTGTCTCAGCAGCCTAAGCACTCCTTCTGGATCTTGATTTTGTGGGTTACCCCCACCACATTCTCTCTCTGCACGTTTTCCCACTCTGTCTCCTTTTAACAGCAGATTCTTTCCCCAAATTAATCCCATCTTTCCTGGCTTCCTTCAGCTTCTCATCAGCCAGAGACCAGTCAAGAGGACCTCTTTCCTCTGTGTACCCTTACACAACCAAACATATTCCCATTCCCTGTATTTTTCTCTTTGACTCCCAACTTTTCCTTACTCAATCATCCTCCATCTTCTTCTTTCATTTCCTAGTTACTGCTTCTCTCTCCTCTATCATATCAATGGCATTTGGTCCTGCTTTTTACCCTTCTTTTTCTCCCCATCCTCTTCCCTTTTCTTTCCTCTACATTCAGGTCAAGTTCCTTCCTCCATAAGGCCACCTGGATCCCAGGCACATCTGCCAGCAGTGTAGAAGAAAGGGTTTCCTGCTCTTGCATGCACCACTGGCTGAGCCTGCCTTGTGGGTTTTGTAATGGAAATGACCATGATTCTACATAGCCCTGACCTGCAAAATATCAAGTTTCTCTGTGTAGTTGGCATGTGGATGCCCCACTGAGCTCTGTTCCTGGGAAGGGAGACCTTGGAAATTGCAGCTGTCAAACTCTAGTAAAGTCTGCACTGAATACCTGAGAATGGGTACCTTTCTTTCCCCCAAAATATGTAGAAATCTGTTACATTCAGTCAGATTTCCACAAAGAGGACAAAGGGATACCCATACCACAAAGGTGAGAAACCCTACTCCAAAGCATACAGATTTTTAAACATTTTAAAACAAACTTGCAATACTTTTGTAACACGGAAAAAATACTTTCATCTATACAAATAATAACAGGCTTTTATGTCTCATTACCCAAAAAAGACCATTTAATAGTATGAAATCTGACATCCCACATTGCAAGATACTGTATATACTAGAAGGAAAAATCACCTGCTCCTCAGCATTCAGGCATTAATTCCAGATCACTGGAATGATGCTTTAATTGATCATTTTGTCCTGGGCAGCATTCCTCCCTAGCTGAAGGAGGAGTTCTTATGAGAAGTGGGAACTGCTACTTAATCTTTTTTGATTTTGCTTGCAGTTGCCCAGATAGCAAAGCAAAGTGACAAAGATCAGCTGGATTTAACAACAAGAAATAGTTTTTTATATGAAAATGTCTATAAGAAAGGCATATCAGAAATTAATATTTTGCACAAAAAAAGAATTCTGTCATCCACTGGCATGATGTAACATTAGCTTATGTTTTACTGTGACAGACTGGCTAAATATGATTCCATGT